TCACTTATTTGTGCTGAAGTAAATTTCAGCGCTTAGCGCCATTGTGAAGCTATTCCGAAAAATCAGGAACAAAAATTGGCAATTAGCAAACATTTTTCGAAGAGCATCAAAATTTCTCCATTACGTACATACCATACTTTTCCTTCCGCTCTAGAGAGAATTACGGTGAGGATAACATTGGAACTATTCTATTAGGTTGGTCCCCAAGCGACAGCCGCAGTTTGAATATCAAAATTATATAGAGGATTCTATCCGATAGAGCAAAGCAAGCTCTATAGGAGACCGTTCTAGGTTGTGTCTTCTCGTTGGAAGCCACCATCTGAAGTATTCAACTATCCCAAAACCAGATCTCCGCCAAAAATAATTTTGCAGGCCTCCAACTTTGCTATAATGTAGTGAACACATGGTAATATAAAATAGTTGTCAGAACTTTTCGAGACCATAAGTTCAAGACAGTGTCCAGCCAACTCTGGGCGCTGAGTTTTTTTTTGCTTAGAAACTGATAGGGAGTCTTAGCTGAGGCACTGCCCAAACAGCAGCGCAAGTGATTCGCATAATAGAGATTCACCCCACCTACTTCGCGCCTGCGCCGCGACCGTTATTTGAGAGTGACCTAGGCGGGTCCCAGAACGAACGTAGTAAGCGAAGTCGTTTTTGGGTTATGGTCACGAGCAGGCGCGAAGGGTTTAGCAATAGATTTTTTAGCCGTCAATGAGTTATTTGCGCTGCCGCTTGGAGAGTGCCTTATTGTTAGTAAGGATACTCTTATCAGGAATGATATCCACGAAAGTCCCCGCGAAATGGGCTTTTCGTGCGAATAAAATGGACTTAGTCCATGCGGTGCGATAAGATGCGAATCCATTCATTCCATACAAAACTTCTTCAGCAAACCTTTCCCCAAGTTGCCTCAACCTGTTTGCTCATTCTTGCAAACTCATTTCCACCAAGTGGTTGATTTCTGACAAGGCTGACCTAATATTACAATGTCAGTCACGTGGATTTTTTATTCTTTCCCACTTCGTCACACCTCCCAAAATATTATTTGTTGTCGATGACTATGCTCTAAATTACCTCCAAGAATGAAATTCATATAAAAGCGGGCCTTCGCTTTTCGAGACTTCTACGGATCTGCATTAAATCAAATTCGTATGTAGAGCTTTCTGCGGAACGCAAACTTTGGTTAGACTTTCACTGCAACCTGTGAACCAAAATGTTTATCTTATAGAAAACCTTGTACTACACCACAACCCAAAGGGTTTTCTAAGTCGGAAACACTACGAATCTGCAAAAGATGACTTCGCAAATTTTCTACTTTAGCTCTTCTTTGTATGGACTACTGCTAATAGAAAATTTTTCACAGAAATTTTCTTGCTAGCTAGCGCCATTTCAGTACTTCTTGCGACCAAACTCAAAATCGCGTTTGAAATGCCGTCTTTGGTGTTCAGTTCTGCGAGATTAATCAAAAGATAGCTTCTGAGTAATTGTACTAAAACGCAAATCTTTTTTTAAATACTGATCATGAATTTAGTTTCGGTTGATGATTTGAAGAGTTAACAAACCTTATTTGATTCACATAGAAATTTTCGCATCGATCTGATATTTGGAAGCATTTGAGTTTGTCAGCGTTTATTTTGGTGAATTTAACCTTCTTCCATGATTTTCATAGCGTTTGTATAAGTTTAGAAAGAAACACTTATTTCAGCCTTCATAAAGGACATGTAACTTTTTCCACTCACCTGTTACCTTAGAATGGGTTAAGGAACACATCCTCAAAAAATCGCTATCAAAATTGTGCAAAAAGGTCAAAAATGGACTTAGTCCCAGCTCACCTTGCCGCTGGGAGTAAAATGGGCTTTCAAGTCCATTTAAGGCCCCGGGCAGACTTCATGCGTTTTGATCGTCGCGACTGAATCGCGAGGAGACAACTGTTACAACATCATTCCATGCTGATCAACTTTCATTCGGTTGTGATACTTTTCCAGCCCGAAATTTTTGAATGTGAAATGAAAATGAATGGAAATCTTGGCGATTAGATCGCGACAATTAAGTCGCGTGAAGTCTGACCGGGGCCTAAAATGGAGGTAAATCCCATTTTGCCCCATCCTAAATGGACTTATGACGTCATCTTTCGCAGGCGAGAGCTCAGGTAAGGTTGAATCATTTTCATTTCACCGCTTTGCCTCATGTTTGCAATGGGATGAAAATTTTTGGATAACGCGAGCGAAAGCAGATACCGACCACTCTTCACCGCGAACGAATAAAATGGGGTTTGAAAGTCCATTTTCCTCCATTATGGACTTTCGTGGATATCATTCCAGGTTTCATTCGAAAAACACGTGCGCCAAGATCTCCATTAATTGCCTCCTAAAAAGTATGGGCGGACAACACATGGCACCTTTTTTCGAGTTTGTTCTGTAGAATGTTTTTCCTATAGGACACATTCAGATTAAAATTTTCGTTCCAATCCAAGATCCAAGATCCAAGCTTTGAGGCACTCAAGCTTTCCAGATTTCTTCAGTCTTCATGCGAATTACTATTTACGCGGATATCTCGTAGTCAGCTCCCGCACGATTGCCTAGGATCGAATTGGACTTCGTTTCTGGCGTAAAGCAAAAGAGAAAGCGTTTTTTCAAGGTCTGTGGCGTCCAGAGAAAAATCGTTGACATTTCAGATTTTGAAAAGTGTTCTTTCGCAAAGCTAGTCTTAAATACAAGATTAAAGCAAAGGAATGGCTTAGTTACAGCGCCAACAATCGCATGGCACCGAATTTGGACTATGTGTAAACATTCAAACCACATCATGTAAAACCTTTCAAAAACTAATGCCCTAAAACCGTCCTCAAATTTGTTGACTTCTAGACCAAAACCAAACCAATTGGTTTGATGTTGGTCTAGAAGAACGACTAAAAGTGTAACTCACGGTGAAAAGAGCGAATCAAACCATTAAATCCCTCTTTTTTGAGCAAAGCAGTATAAGCATACGCATTGGTAAATATTGTGCTATAATCACAAGGTTGTCAGAGCGTCCTTTGACCTATGTGGCGACTATTGTCGTAGGCCACAGATTTGGTTGGCCTAGGGGAGGGGACATCTCAAGAGTATACTTGGGTCCGAATCGAGAAAAAAATAGTAATTCGATCATTCAAATAAAACATTGGAGTATATTGGCATTCAGATTTATTCGAAACCCCATTTTTTGATTATTCGAGTTCCGAATATTATTAAAAAATGAAAACCGAATGAATTCTGATTCGATAAAAAACGGGGTTTCGAATAAATTTTATTTGAATGTCTTATTCAAATGTCTATTCGAATTCCTATTCGAATGAATTCTGTACTCAGATTCCAGTTTGTTGCAGAGACGCTTCGTCTGCGTTCTTTTCGTAAAACTGGTAATGCATCTTTTTGCACTCGTGATCACTTTTGAACTGTATGAAAAGTCGCATTCCTCCGACTGCTTGCGACAGAAAAAAATGGGTGTAGGTTTTTGATGCTTTTTCGATTAATGAGATAATGCACATTGCTATTGGCACCAAATCATCAAAAAACAGCTATTAAGTTCAAGCTCTTGTTCCGAGTTCATTGATGTGCTGACATGCCTTTTTCTCATTCTTTGCATGCTATTGCTTTTGCTACGCAAAGGTCCACAATAGTGAGTACTCTTGCTTATAAAACTCATGCTGCACAAGTACCTCTGTTCTTTACCTTAGAGATTTTTTGGCGAGTTGATGTATTTTAAAGGACATTGCAGCTGTAGTGGATTAGACGGCTGCTGAATTTTGCAGTTATAACACCTTGCAATAAAGTTTTATAATAGATAGTACATGATAGTTCTGTTATCACAGTGCACACAAGATTTTCACGGGGGCTTGCAGGCACTTTAACACCTCAGGCTATCAACCTATCAACTATGGTGAAGGCTAAAGCCGGACGAAGAAGGTACACTTTGAGAAATGCGAGCTTTGATTATCAGGCCCCGCGCATACTTCACGCGACAGTCGTACTCGATTTGCCATTTACAAGATGCTTGCTACGGGGTGAGAGTTGGTACAGGGGAGGTGGGAGGGTATAAGAGAGGTGCTGATTATAAATAAAAGTTTATTTTGTCGATTTTATCGATTTTTTTTTTAGAAATTTTGAGCTACGAGGCTGGGAGTTGGGTACAGGGGGGGGGGGGGGGGTAATTGAGGGTGCCGATTATGAATTGACATTTACTTTGATGCTTTTATCGACTTGTGGAAAATCTGAGCTACTTCTGGGAGTTGGCACAGGGGATTAATGAGGGTGCTGATTAAAAATAAAATCTATTTTGTAGATTTTACCGATTTTTGATAATCTTGAACTAGGAGTTGCTGGATATGAGGGTGCTAATTATGAATGGATCGGCTTTAGCCGAATGTGTCAGCAAGTTTTAGATCTGATTGCTCTAGTTATTCGATAAATCGTCCGAATCTCCATTCAAAATTCGACTCTCAATGTTCGAAGATAATCGATAATCACTCATTCGATATTTTTGATTATCCGATATTAATCTTGATTTATTCATTCGAAAATTTTTAAATCTCGAATTATTCGATAATCGTTTATCGAAATTTAATTTTGAATATATTCGATATTCATTCATTCGACAAAAATTTTCAAATTTGCTTAAATATAATGAAGAGCAAAATGGTGCAACTTTTGTTTGTGATGCTGATTGAATAGAGACTTTTCTACTGCTTTTGACGTCAAAGCGGACTTTATGAAATTTTGCAAAGTCATGCGGAGTTGTTTTGAGGAACGCTTCAAATCAATGCGTGTCAAGTCCAGCTCGTAGTCATTCTGTGAGCATGCATTGCTCTATCAGAAAGTGCACCATGCATTTTTGATATACACACTGCGGTTACACCATAAGAAACGCTGATTACCTTTGCGCAAATCCAACATGATTTTTCTGTGTAATTCTCAGTTCACGCATATTTTTATGGTTTCTTGAACATTTCAAACAGCAATTCTTCAGCTCTAAACGTTTTTAGCAGGGCCCTTTCCACATTTCACACTTGCGGATTTTATTAGACCATTTGATCTCTTTGCTTCCTTCGCCATGTCTATCACCTAAATTCACATATGTAAAAGCAATAATTATCAAAAAAAGAATATAGCAGCATACCAATTTACAGTTTGGCGCTGCTGACACTTTCAAATCTATTGCTACTTTACCACCCACATTGCGGGCCTTCACTTTGAACATATTTTCGATGTAAGGAAGTTTGCGACGCCGCAGCTGTTTTTTAAGCTAAAGAAAGGGGGATTCTTCAGTCAAGCAAAAGGAGAGCGTATTTGCCTGAGATTTTGCAGCGTTGATGTATGTCCCTATCAGATGCCCTTTATAGGATACATTCGTGGTGAAAGTTGTAGTAGCCGGCTGTCCGGTTTTTGCCGGACGGCGTGCTGCCTGGGAATTGAGATCTAGATTGAAGAACTCGAAGTTCGAAGTAGTTGAGGAAATTCACCTCTAAATTTACAAAGAGTGCTAGAAGTATGATCGTCAGCATCTGGAAAAATGGTCAACGCATATGTTTCATATTTTCAGTTACACTATCGCTTAATCACAACGTTTCAGAACAAGATGGAGACATTTCATTACTTCAAAATTGATATCTACAAATTAACTTAGTTTTTGCATTATGGAAAAATGCAATCTGTGACAATAGTCACTCTAGGATAACTTTATCTACTCCAAAATAAAACACTCATCCATACCGATGTAGTTGATAAACTTCGGATCGTGTTTGAAGCAACAAGAATGGAGGATGGACAGATATGAAGCGAAGGAAAAACAAACAAGGGCTTTATACCAAATGCTGGGATGCAAATGCGATTTCCAGTCGCATATCAAAACGGAAAAACGTTTACTGTGAGAAACTACTGAAATTTACCGCTGCGCTGTCAATCCTTCCGACTATCAGGTTCAAAAATTTCCTTTACAGGCTACTTTACAAAAGCAAATTTTTATCATAATCCAATTTACTGTCAGACTCTTACCTCATTGAAGTCTCAAAATTCTAGATGAAAGGAGGAGAAGCAAATAGGATTTGGCACTAATGGAGCGAGCCGACCCTAAACCGAAGTTAATCGCCCGATAAGAATGTGGCTTCCGTTTACATCTCATTGCCCTAAGGCAGGTTCTTTACATATTTCGAAGCTATACAAATGCATTTTGATAATCGGACAGGCAGGTAGTTTTGATATAGGATACAGAGTCTGAACATTTGATAACAGTGAACTGTGGGTGGAAGATATAGGAGAACTTTTGTGCTTTGGACGTCATCGTAAGCTAAGTATCTCGTCGCAAGCTGGTACAAAGAAAATATATAGGCTAATTTTAGGTGACGAATGATGCCATGCAATGCATCAGACTGGAATTCATAAAACAAATCTTATACACGCAAGAATTTCGTGAGCCAGCTTTTTGATGAATGATATGTTTCAAACTTCGAGACAGTCTTTCTTTTTATGAATTCACAAGAAATTATTGTTACTTTCGGCCTTATATCTTTCCTCATTTTATAACTTAATTTTGCATGATCATTCCAGCATTGAATGCACAACTCCTTTTTTGACAAACATTTTATAGAAAAAACTTTTCTAAGAGTTCAAGACAGATTTGGTATACTCTCATTGGACTTAATAGCGTGCAATTAAAGGCAGTGGTGTATAGCCTGCACCGCTTGAAATTCACTAATGATCTCTGAAAAGCAAAATAATCAGTTATAACATGCTTGTAAAGAAAGCGTAAATAATTTCATTTCATTTCATTTCATTTCATTTCATTTCATTTCATTCATACGCTCGAGGCGTTCCAAATCAAAAACAATAAAGTGTTAGTCATACATGGAACACAACAGCAACAGATACCAAATCACCACGTCGTCCTAAGCCCAGTCTAAACGACTTACTAAGAAAAGTAATGTAGTAGTAATGTGATGATAAGCTTGCATGACTTGCATCTCGGCTGCACGTTATCTTGTGCTAGCATAGACTCTATGGAGAAGTACCCATGCCTCCTCGTTTGCCAGCAGGGAACGATCTTTATATAATTCATAAAAGCAAACCGGAAGTTCGGGTGGCGGGTATACTGGCAAACCCCGCCTAACACGGTTTGCTGGGGAGGGTCCTGAGCTCCAAGTATAAACAGGAAAGTAGGTTGAGCAAGCGTAGTAAGAATCAGCAAGCCGTATGAATAGTAATAAGTTGACAGTCAGGCTGGGCCTAACTACATGGTCTAGTCAAGTTAGTTGAAGAACAAATCTAGCAAAGCAGAGAAAAAAAGTAGAACATGTTGAACACATGCACTGATTGAGTCGGAAATGCGCACGGATGGCAAGAGAGAGCATAAAGCGATTGGAAGCGAGCTCCACTAAACGCACAACCACCAGCTGACGTAATGAGACAGACATAAATTAACCAGGCCATAAATGAAGGTTCCAAAACCGTGCAAGAAAACCTGAAAAACGAAAAGAACACTTTTGGGAATAGATGCGAGAAAGGAAAAGTAAAGAAAAAAAGTAATCAAAAGTAAGGACTTACGAAATCCAACTGGTAAGCTGTTCTTATTGAACAAAAAAACCTAAATTAGACTTAAAACGAATAAAAAAGTATCAACAGAGGTACGGCCCACAATGCAAAATATTAGGGATATCAATCTTTAGCAAATTTTTTTTAAAAGCCCAGCTATTTTTGGCAGTTAATAATTTGGGAGGTAGTCGATTGAGCCAGCGTGCACAGCGATAGAATAATGAGTTGAAAAGACCGGAATAGAAGCTCTTTTGTAACCTAGGATGACGTAAATTAAAGCCGCCACGCCTACAACTAGCAGGTCTAAAGATCCAAAACCTGCTAGCTCTTTTCTCGCTACTAATCTGGGACAGATATTCTATCTTACAGAAAAGGTTGTCCCTCTCGATATTTTTCCAAAATGAAAAAACCTTCAGCATGTCTTAGAGACTTTTTTTACAGCCTGTTATCGTTTCTAAGTCAAGAACTAATCTGTCCACCCTATAGGTGCCGTTTTGTTTATAGTGCTGAAACTCGTCTGGACTCGGTCAGCAGGTGTTTCAAAAGTCCTGTCCTATTCTACGTTGCCTCGTTTTAATCCAGTTATTAGGTCGTTTCATAAGTTCGTCGACTTTTTATTTTTGTTGCCGTTTTTCGATGAAGGGGTTGGTTTACGGCAAAGTACCTAAACCAATGAAAAGAGAAAATCTTGCTTTACAAGAACTGTTGTTCGTTTTTGGAGCAAACTTGAATCCCCTTCTTTTACGACTTATCAAAGCAAAATTTTTTGAGAGGCAAAAATTGGCGATTGCGGCAACTGCACTTTCCGCATTTGGTCCGTATTCCGCAAGATGTTTCTGTCATACGTAGGCGGGATGGATAGTAGCAAGCAAGATGAAACACTGACAAATTTGCAGCATGCCAATATGCATAGAACCGTTTGAACAAGGTCCCAATGGTTGTTGTCTTTGACTGCTGCCGCTTGAGTTTGGCGCGTTGTTCAGCGACACAATGTGTCGGTCCTCCTATCGGAACTTGAGGAATGGATGCGTTCTTCTAAGTGGTGTAGATGTTTGAGTACAAGCTCTGACCAACTTTTTACGCTTTTTCAAAAAAATTTCTGACGTGGGAACTTCTTCAAATTGTGCCAAACGCAAAACATCTACACACATGGTAAACGTGCGCTTAATCTTTCTTAATAGCCTCTCTTTGGATATGAAGACTACTTTTATATGCACCGTAGTACCACAAACAGTTGTTTCTCATCACTCATAACAACTTCAGACAAAAATTCCCACTTGTGGCCCCGTATACGGATCGAAAGTTGCAGTTGCCGCAATCGCCAATTTTTGCCTCTCAAAAAATTTTGCTTTGATAAGTCGTAAAAAAAGGGGATTCAAGTTTGCTCCAAAAACGAACAACAGTTCTTGTAGAACAAGATTTTCTCTTTTCAATGGTATAGGTACTTTGCCGTAAACCAACCGAAAAACGGCGACGAAAATAAAATGTCGACGAACTTATGAAACGACCTAATATCTCTTATGCACTTATACTTACTCACTTATTGGAGAGTTACAAACATCATAAAAGCACTTTTTTGGAAATGGAAGTGATGGGCTAGTTTACGCACACTTTTGCTCTCACATAGGAAGCGCCTACTTTTCAATTTTATCTTGGAAACTTCAATACGAGCTTCGTTTTTCTACACAGCAACAATCTACATATAGTAACCAGTGATGTTTTCGGTATTTGTGTTGCAGTAAAGCCAGAGCAAGCAGCAACCATCAGCCAATTAGCTTCGTTCTATCGCGACAGCAAGAAAAATTAATAACAAGAAGTCTGCATGCTTATGCTTGCGGCGAAATGCTCAAAGTGGCTTCTTTTTGCAAAAAAAATTACTGTGCAGCAAGGACAGCTTGAATTTTCTTTAGCCATAAAATAATCAGTGGAGTATAGGTGGTGGTAATGGCAATCAAGTGATTCTACCCATCCTTATATGGAAACATTAGTATGTCAAATTAGGCGATGAAGAAAACCTTGCAGAAATCAACAAAATTCTCTTCTCTCTTACTTGCTTAATCAGCATTTATGATAGCCATAAACACGCTTGATTCAGAAGAATTTGATTTGCTTAAAGGTGTTACTACATCAAAATTTGCAAAGCCGACGGCTTTTGAACAATCTCTACCTGCGGCCAGTCTTTGCTCTTGGCTATTGAGGTCCGCTAGCTGAATTTTGAGCGATCGCCTACATGATTGCCTCCATACATGTCACAATCGAAATGGCTAGAAGTCAGCCTCTGATGCTGGAAAAAGGGAAAAAGTCAAATTATAAAAGTTTTTTCCGACGATCATTCGCTAAATCACTTTTGCTCGAAAACGGAGCGTTATAGCATCTCACGGTTTTATGCGTGGACTAATGTTTAAGGGTAGTTTGGTCACGGCTTTTGTAACGCTTTATATCTAATCATAAGAACGAATCTGAGATTGATATGCAAATATCAGGTTGAAGAAATACATGTCGCTTTCTATTTCCTCTTCATGGCATCGCCACAAGACAAACCCCAACATGTATGGGGTACCATTCGATAGAGCAAACCAGGCTCTACCTAATGGTGTTACTGCTTTTGCACCAAGTTCCATTAAAAGCTTCAGATATCCAAAAAAATTGAAAAGATTCGTATCTCCATCGAAAAAATGTCTACAGACCTCTAACGTGCTCACGAACATTCAACAACATTCCCCTCATCAAATATCCATACGCGCACTTGCTGTTATTTTTCCCTGGCTAGAAATCGATAAATCGAGAGTTTTCATGCTTTTGCCGAGGTGATGATGGGCTTTCCCGCGTATGTAATTCTATACTACTTGACTTGAGAAGTACACCGTAGATTTTCAGCCGTCTACAAGAGTTACTTTAACAAAGATATCGATTTTGTTTCGAAAAACAGAGAAAAAGGCTAAATTCGATATTTCTCGAAAAATGACTCTTGTAGAAGGCTGAAAATCTACGGCTGTATTCCCAAGTTAGGTCTCCGACAGAGTTCATGCGGTTTGATCGTCGCGATTCAATCGCCAAAGACAATTGTTACGAGTTCATTGCATGCCGATCTTCTTGCATTTCGGTTGTGATAGTTTTCCAACATGACTAATCGTGAACTAACTACCACAACCGAGATACAAGAAGATCGGCATGCAATGAACTCGTAACACTTGTTTGTAGCGATTGAATCGCGACGATCAAATCGCGTGAACTCTGCCCGAGGCCTTAAGTATATAGAAATGCATACGCGGGAGCAGACCAGCATCACTTTGGCAGAAGCATGAAAATTATCAATCTATCGATGTCTAATCAAGGAAATATTTCAGGAAATGCGCGTATGGATGTTTGATGAGGGATGTACGTTCGTGAGCAAGTTGGGGATTCGTAGATATTTCTTGGATAGAGGTACGATTTTACTCAATTTTTCAGTAGTTTAAAATTTTTGGATTTTGTGTTCGAACTTCATGCGGATATAACTTGTTGCAAAAGCAGTGACACCATAACGTAGAGCTTGCTTTGCCCTATCGAATGGTGTTACTGGGATTCGCTTGTTGTGATGCCAAGACGAGGAGATAAAAAGCGACATTCTTTTTTTCCAACCAGGGCCGGTATGTATCAATCTCCCACTCGGGAAGGGGTTCCCGTCTGGGTCGTTGCCCGACCGGGCACGGGCGCCCGCACCCGCGATGCACCATTCTGGGCTGGTACTCGGGCAAGAGCCCGGACTGCCTATTTGGGGATCAGTAGCAGCGTGCTGACGCATATGTGATATGCCTCCTGACGCCTTCTGGGAGTGACTCCTTTCACTCATTTTCGTGCATTTCTTCTCCGAATTTGAGTCCGTGCGTTTCTTTATCAGTTTCTGTCCCCTAACGTACTTTTTTGTGCTTTTGCAGGCCCTTGTCAGCGAATTTGATTTGAAGGCGGGTGTTTATTTTTGTCCGCAGCCGATCGAAGAAGATGGAAATTGTGTTTGGAAACTATGTTTGAAATAATTGCAAACAGATACATCATCAACTTGTTGAAGAAGAATGATCCTCCTCCACGATGTGTGTGAGACACATTTCTATGAGAATGTGACATCACACAAAAGCAAAGAGGTATCAATCAAAAAATCAATAATCAACAAAATCATAAAATCTCATTTTGGTGAAAAAGCAGGCACAGCCTGCGACCAAATGATAAAAAAAGGGCAAACCAGACAGGATTCTGTCTGGTTTGCTTATCATGCATAAAGAAACGAAAACAAAACCAAAAAAGTTGAAGAACTCACCAATAGCGCATAAAAGGGGAAGCAGTGGCGAATGTGTGTGCAATGTGCAAAATCCGAGATAGCGAGATTAGGCGTAAAATATATTATTTTTGGTGCGCCGTGAGTAATCACGGCCGACGCGCATTCCGCAACGTCTAGAACAATTTCTCCTTTGAGTTTTCCACTAATACCAACCTATTAGAATAAACGGGCGTAGATATTGAGAATGAAGTAAAGACATATTCAAGAGAATTAGAACTCCCATATGTACAAAGTGCTTGGAGCCAAAACCGAAACTTGCCTATGCAATCTGCTTAAGCGTTGTTCCTTCTCCAAACAGCAGCATTTTGGCACCTAGAACCAAAAACATTCTCAGAACTTTGTAAAGAAAGAAAACCATTCAAATGAGGAAAGAAACTCAAAAAATTTCAATCACAATGTTCCCCCTATTGCTTGCGACAAACGTTCAAATTCTTTTTTGGGAACATATGTGGGGAAAAAACAGACAACACATTGAATAATGTAGTTAAACTGCATGCAAACCATAATCATGCACATTATAGTTACTTGTAAAACCTAACTACTAAGATAGAAATTCAAATTGAACAAAAAAAAGATAAAGAAAACGAGCTTCCGTTTCGTTCCTTCCCTTAGACGGAGCACAAATACAAAAAAAATCATTAAGTAAGCCCTCCCCGGAACTCTTCAGTAAGGAGGGAGGGCCTAACAAAGTAAAGAAAATGAAAAACTCACCAATTTTAGCAAAAAAAGGCGATGAGTTGCATCTCCCGTCGCGAGTGCCCGAACCCGTGAGATCGGGCTTTCCTGCCCGTCCGGGCTGGGCGCCCGCGAGTTTCATACATCATGGGTCGGGCGCCCGCTCCCGCCAGGGCGTTCATTTCCAATGGTTAAGGAGCGCCCGGGCGCGGTTCGGGAGATTGATACATACCGGCCCTGATATTAGTTGTAAATCAAGTCTTTTCGCAACTTCTTACGGCGACAAGTCGCATATTTCGTAATCTTGGTAGTGCCCCAAAATACCATTCGATAGAGCAAAGCGGCTCTACATGACCATTTGCAGAAGTTCGCGCCAGTTGAACCCACCGTAAGTTTGTATTCAGAATCTAAGCTTTACTGAAGGCTCAAAAAATTGACAAAAATTCCTATCTCGTTTAAACGTTTCCAACTTGCTCACAAATTTACACACCACATCAAATTTTCACATGTACTGTTACTCTATTTTTTCCTCATTTGGAAATAGGGAAAAGGAAATTATAATGCTTATACAAAAGATATGCTGCTTTGCTCTTGTGGTTGTATACTACAAGCTCTTAGAAGTAAGACCGTGAAATTTTAGCTTTCTACAACCCCTAATTTTCGAGAAATACCGAATTTAGCTCTTCTCACTCCAATGTTCCATGCTAAAATTAATCATTCTCAGAACTAGGGCTTGTGGAAAACTCAAAATTTACTTATACTGATTATACTTCTAAGGTATAAGCTTCTAGGCTTCTTATACTTTTACTTATATGGTTGTAGTTCTAAGGTCTTACGGTGAGCCTTTCCTTGGGGTAAACAGCATAATTTCGCATTTGTATGAGCATAATAATTTTCGTTTTCTTGTAAATGATAAAAAGAACAGCATAATTTCGCATTTGTATGAGCATAATAATTTTCGTTTTCTTGTAGATGATAAAAAGACACATATAACATGCATATAATTTTGTGATGTGAGTGCAATTTGTGTGAGCAAGTTGGAGATACCTAAGATTTTTTTGAACGAAGATATGAATTTTCCAATTTTTTGAGCCTTCAGTACCACTCAGATTCGCACCACACATCACTTACGATGGGTTGAAGCTGCTGCGAACTTCAGCACATCATCTTGGAAAGCTTGTTTGCTCTATCGAATGGTACCCTGGAGCTCTAATAGGATTTGAAGTATATGACCGTTGCCATAAGAAGTTTAAGTGTAACAAGACTTCTATTATAACCTAATAGTCGATTGATAAGCGCAAGAAAGACATAGTAATTAGGTCAATTCCTGCTACATATTCAAAGTTATATCCAGTTGGATGAATGGATAGCCACTTCGCCCCAAGTAATAAATTCGGCATCACTGCTTCACTGCTACCGTAGTTCACCTTCAGTCCCCTCTATCACTCGCTTAAAAAATCTGGTCTGGTTGCATTGTCTGATTCAAAAAAAACCTCTGTACAAAAATATTAGAGTGATTGGAAAGTAATTTTACAGCTTGAATATTTTTTAATTTGAAGCTTTTTGTTTTGGTCTTCAGTGACCAGCCAAAACGCACTTTAATAAATGGCTTTCACCTTTCATTTTGGCATTGCGCTACCGTTGCTCTCCCAGAATCTTTGGGATTGCGCTTCGAAACTATTTAAGTTTCTGAACGTCTTTTATTGTTGCTGTAATCTATCATGCATGTGGAAATATTTTACTTCTATAGATTCAAAATCCAAAAAACTTGTGGAAGCGCATCGGCGCAAGAAAAAAAAACTAGAAAACTCATGTTTGGTCTTTATTTGCTAAAGATGGAAGAAAACCGAGGTATGTTGGGAAAATTTGAGTTCAAAGGCAGTGTCCGGGCAAGAACTCGATCTTGAGATTTGTTCTTACCCAGGCCTATTCGCTACGCTGAATCCGAAAATGCACATTGGAGAGCGCGAAAACGGCGAAAAACGGCTCTGACACGGGAGGGAAATCAGTAGGTGGGCGGGGTCCTCCCCACTGTGAATTTACGCTCCCAGCTTCCACAGCGATCTTCTCGGTCCCAATTTCAAGTCATGCATTCGCACTTGGCCGGTGGAGATCTCAGAGCGCTAGAGGAATTGGGAAGATCACCCCAGAAACTGAGACTGCGAAATTCACAGTGGGGAGAACCCCGCCCACTTCCGATTTCCTTCCTGCGCTAGAGCCCTTTTTTTGCCGTTTTCGCGCTTTCCAATGTGGATTTTCGGATTCAGCGTAGTGAATAGGCCCGGGTAAGCATAAAATCTCAAAATCGACCTTTTGCCCGGACACTGCCTTTAAAGGCACCGTCCACCCAAACTGAGGGTTGATGAGATTTCGGTGCATACTAGTGTAGGCCCCCACACTAGGCAAACCCCCAAGTAGCGCCACAAAATACTCTCTCCGAAGCGAGAAATCCGCTCCGGAAGGGACGTAACCGGACGTGGTCACTCCGCCCACTTTGCAGGCGCACCGTTGGAGATACTACACGCACAGCGCAGTACAGTGCTTCGTCGTAGGCGACTAATCGGAGTTTTCTAAATGTTATTCCGTGTATTAGTATTCTTAACCGTTCGTTTTTTATTCAATCGTGACCAAATTTACGACAAAGTTGTTTTTCCGATTATAGCTATCATCAGCATCCGGCATAGCTGTTTCTCGATGTAGACATGATCTTTCTTTATAGGCGACGCTTGCGCTCAATGAAACAAGATGAACATGCGAAGATAACGTGAGTTTCTTTTCATTGCAATGTACATCAAATTCAAAAACTATTTGTAGTCAAAATGATCGTTGTCGTCGGTACTACATGACTAATGGATCATTGCAATCTGTCACGCATTTCTGCGCAGCTAACTTGCTATTGCTGTAGTTGATCTTGATGTGTTATTAAATTATTTGATGTTTTGCCTACAAGTGAATCCTTTTCCATTTCCTAATACTCCTAATCGATTGCACAATTGGCCCTGACTAGTTTGCAAATGACGCCCTGCGTATATCAGCGCGCCTGCAAAGTGGGAGGAGTGACCACCTCCGGTTACGTCCCTTCCGGAGCGGATTTCTCGCTTCGGAGGGAGTATTTTGCGGCGCTACTTGGGGGTTTGCCTAGTATGGGGGCCTACACTAGTATGCACCGAAATCTCATCAACCCTCACTTTGGGTGGACGGTGCCTTTAAGTGCAAAAAAGGTACAAGTGTATCCTTAGCCGCATACGCATGACTACGTATCCTGACTCAGAGCCCTGATACTACGAAGCGGTGGTTTCATGACAGCTATAAATGAACTCATGAGTTTTACTGCGAAAGTATTGTTAAGTGTTCATCATTGCCCACACTGATTGGCGTCGCGTTTCAGTTATAAAATTACTACACGCAGATGATGCCCTTATATAGGTTTCAGTTGAGCGAGTATGATGTGTTCTAACATCCATGGAAATTCTGATAAACACTCCTTCTTAAAAAGCTTCAATTATTCTCGAAGTGCTCCCTTACTTTTGAGCACCCACCCTAATATTCATATAGAAGATGATTTTTTTGGAGGTCAGAGAATCTACCAGTCCAGACTTTTCAAGCAGTTGACGAGGGTGAATGAAGATGAAACTACGGTAGAAAGCAGTAGCGCCGAATGTATTATTTGATGCTGCGCAGATGCTTATTGTATTCAAATTCATAAAACTTCAAGTTCGTAGAAGCGTAGTAGGAATGGGCCAAGTTAATTACTATATTTTTTGCGCTTGTCAATCGAAATTGTCAAAGGACCGTTCAACGGAGTGAACTATTAGCATCCCAACTGCAGATTCGGTCTTATGATTAGATATAAAGCGTTACAAAAGACGTGACCAAACTACCCTCAAAAATCACGCATAAAACCTAGAAGAGCTATAATGCTCCGATTTTGAGCAGAACAGTACAAAATCGCGTAAGCGAGTGATTTGAGAAACCGTCAGAAAAGTTGTTGTGAATGTGTTGTAAATTTGACTTTTTCTAGCATCAAGGGCTGACTTCTAGTTATTTCGATTATCTTATATATAAAGCTGAATGTCTGTTTGTCTGTCTGTATGTATGTCTGTCTGTATGTATGTCTGTCTGTATGTATGCCTGTACGTATGTTCCGAATAGAAAATTCCATTTCTGAACCGATCCGGACCAAACTTGGCACACTTACACTACGGCCCCCGGCGGGTGTCATAGGCTACTTTTCGTCATCGATCGATATCGATTTTATCGATTTTTATCGATTTTTTTGCTGAGTTCACCTAGGGGCTGGGAGTTGGCACAGGGGGGTAATCGAGCATGCAGATTCCGAATACAATATTGGTTTTCAGGATTATTGATTACATTTATAGATTTTATCGATTTTTTGCAAAGTTTGAGCTACGGGGCTGGGAGTTGGCACAGGGGGGTAATCGAACATGCTGATCATCCCCAAGGGGGGTGATCAGCATGCTCGATTACACCCCTGTGCCAAATTCCAGCCCCCTAGCTCAAATT